TGAGTTGGTAGTATCTGCTAGCCTATATGTTTTTAGACTCTCAGCGGTCGGGGAACTTTTTTAACCATTACCCCAAAATATTATTGCGTAAGTCGATATTACCCCCCCCCCATTCTGAATAGAAAACAATCAATGTAAATAAAAGGACTAATAGGTGTTTCTTGAAAACCTGAAAAGAAACTCATCATTATTCTTATGTGTTATATTTCCATAAAGATTTACAGATTCGTTACTGAAATAGTTTGGGAAACACTGTGATATACATCAATTCTACCAAATACAATAATCTCGATTTTATTTTGTCAATAAAAGCAAATGAAACCGAGTCAAATAAAACATATTTATATAATGATAATAATAATAAAACAAAACATCGCTATTGAAATTTGAATGTAGATAATTTTGGGTACGCCACTGGTGTTCGGTTCGGTTGAAAGCTGCGTTGGTAAATGATGGCAACGTTGTTTCCGCTACCGCCCGGAAGTTACATAACAGTATGTTGATGTCGGGTGAACCGGAAGACGCGTGGGCGTCGCGACGGACATTCAAAAATCGCGAAAACTTTTATGCGGCCCGCGACGGACAGCCAGATCGTCGTTCGAAGCTGGGGGGGCCGACGGCGCCATCTGTCGGCGACGTCTCGCAGTCGCATGTAACGGACGCGTTCATTGGCGACATCACATCATCGTATTCATTTCGATCTTCCGCAGAGGAATTCGGTGTATATCTTGTGCACAGACGTGTTTTCACGGTGTTTCCCTTAAGTTTGATGTGGTTTTCGTATGTTTTCTTCGGTGTTGCGATCGCCGATTGGCGGGGTTTCGGCGGATGTTGTCATGGCGTCCGACGGCTCGACCAATGAGCGCGCGCCTTAGATGCAGCCCAATGCTGGTGTGTTCGCGTCACTTCATTAATTTGTGCGTCTCCCATGGCGTAGACGAGTGCAATCATCAGGGGAGAGGACGAGAGAGCGAACAGCGCGAAGACGAGAGAGGTGCCTGTTGTTGTTGTTGTTGTTGTTATGCGTCTGGCAGAATCTGGCGGGCATATCTAGATGTGCATCTATGGGAAATGTCGTTCATCGACTGGCGATTGTTGTTATTGTGGCGTTGATCACGTGACGCGGCGTGCGTGAAAGGGAATGGCGAGAGATGATCGAGGAACGAACCGTTTGCAACTGAAGTTTTTTTGACATTCCTCTATTTGTATACATACATACATACATATATACATACACACGTACACTCACACACTTGCACACACACACACTCATACAAATACACCCGCAACTCACGCTAGTTTGTTTTTGTGTGTGTACCACGTGAGACGTACACTACCACTGGTGTGTTGTGGTGGTGTTCTTATGGTTGACAGTTAGTGAATGAGGATGTCTGCGAGGGGGGCCAAGAAACGGGGAAGACCCCCGAAGGTCCAAACGGCGGATCGCGCCAAGAAGTTCCAGTACCATCTGCTGAAGAAGCCCAAGTATCTGCAAAACCTGAACCGTGGCTCTGATTCTCCTTCCAGCACTCCCACCGCTTCCAGGCCATCAACACCTCAGAGCGAGACTGGCAAGAGATCAACGAGAACCAGAGGCAAGGACAGCAAACGCAGAGGTTCACATGTGCAGGCGTACAAGAGGAGAGGATACAACCCCAGCGCGGCAGAGTACCATGACTCTGAGTACCATTACGGCTCGGATTTTGGTGATGAGTCCAGTGAGAAAAGTGATTTGGACGATGACCTGCCACCGTCCGACTGCGAGTCTGAGGACTCCATTGATCCACGTGCGCCAAGCAGTGACAGTGATTTCTCCCTGAGCAGTTACAGTACAGTGAGTGGCACCCCGCGCAAACCTATCCCACCGAGACCCCCCAGTCCTGAACCTCTCTGGCTTCAAAACAAACCTCTGCCTCAGCTAGAATTACCTAAATCCTCTGAGGATCTCCTCATTACCAATGACAATATCATGACCGTGCTCAGCATATACGAGGTGCTCAGGCATTTCAGGAACTTGGTGAGATTATCCCCATTCAGGTTGGAGGATTTCTGTGCATCCATAGTGTGTGATGATCATAACAATCTGTTTGCTGAGATACACATTATGTTGCTGAAGGCTCTGTTCAGGGAGGAGGACTCCCAGCAGACTCATTTTGGTCCTCTGGATCAAAAGGACAGTGTAAATATTTCCCTATACCTTTTGGATTATGTGACATGGCCTGAGGTGCTCCGGGCATATGTGGAGAGTGACAAGAGCTTTGACCCCCAAGTGCTGCACATCCTGAGCAGCTCCAATTATCCATTCACATCTCTAGATGACAAGATCAAAGTGTTGCAATTTCTATCTGACCAGTTCCTCACAACAAACCCAATACGAGAAGATTTGATCAGTGAAGGTAAGAACATTTACTACATAATTACTCTTCCCATTGTCTCTACACAATCAGTTTTTCCATGTGATTGATTTATATATGCATCTTGATCATGCACATTTTTAGGAAACATTGGGAATTCATTTCTATTACTGTTTGATTTAATATATAATAGAGTTGTACAGTTTTTTTGGTAAATAGTTAATATAACAATAATGACCTGTACGTTTTAATTTAAATAATTATGTAAATTATTAATGCATTGTAATCATGTGATACTTAATGTTATTGATTGTGTTTATAGTTCCGATGCATTACGATGACCACTGCAGGGTATGCCACAAGCTTGGAGATTTGCTCTGCTGCGAAACGTGTCCTGCAGTTTACCACTTGGAGTGCGTCGATCCGCCGTTGGTGGATGTACCCGAAGAGGACTGGCAGTGTAATATCTGCAGGTCGCACAGGGTGAGCGGCGTCGTGGACTGCGTCCTGGACGTGGAGAAGCAGGGTCAGCTGTGCAGACAGGAGCCCATCGGTTTCGACAGGCACGGCAGGAAATACTACTTTCTGTGTAGACGAATCGTGGTGTGAGTGGGATTTCGGAGGATGTTTAAAAGTATTCAAACTAAATTTTATTTTTTGATTTTTTTTTATGGTCGTACAGAGAGAGCATCGAGGCTGAGGTCTGGTACTATTCGACGAAACTGCAGCTTGAACAATTGCTGGAAACGTTGGACAGTGACGACATGGAGGCGACACTGTTCCGCGAAATCAATGATTTCAAGGAGGAAATGGTCAGGCAAATGGAGCTTACCGAGAAACTGACGAATCAACACAAGGGGAACAAAAAGACTTACTTCGAAGTATCCAATGGTAAATTAACGTTTGTGTTTTTAACAAATTTTTTTTTAAAATAATGTTTTCGTATGTTTTAGCTGCGATAACGAAAGCTAAAAAAGATAAGGAAGAGTTGCTGGAGAAAACGAAAGTGGAAGGCGACGAAGAAACTTCTGAAAAGGTACAAGAAGACAGTTCAGAGATGCAGCCCATGGATGATCGCAGTTTGGAGACGAAGATGGACGAAGGAGAGGAGGAGAAGGCCCTGCAGGGCGAGGATAGCGAAGAGGACCAAAACAAAGAGACGACGACGGTGACCCGATCGAAAACGGGTTCTTTGACTCCGAGGACTTTCAACATCGAGGATCTGAGGAAGAGAACTAGCGCGGTGATAACGCGTGATTCGGAAGAACGGATGACTCGGCTGAAGACCACCCAACTTGCGAACGGTACGTATCTGTACAAGCTCGGCATGGAGAACTTATTCAAGACATACGTGAACCAATTCACGACAAACGTGATAGCGCTGAACAAGCCCCAGCGTAACGAGGAGAGAGACAAGAAGCGCCATCTGAGCCACAAGTTCTCGTTGACGACGGCGTCCGAGTTCAAGTGGAACGGTTTGGTAAGCGGAAACAAAATTTATCTCTTTAACACTCTGAGACAGACCATCCTGCAGCTGGAGGAGCTCATCCAGAGCCCCTTCATGCATCCCAATTGGCATCTGATCAAGAAGAGTTGGCTGGCCGTGGTAAACCAGTGCAAACAAGCGAAAGACTTCGCGAAGGCTCTCATAGTGTTGCAGGCGTGCATCAAACCTTGCGTCTTTGCCAACGTGTGGCATGAGCAGTTGGGTCACGTAAAGATGACTAGAGTCACTGCTGCGGAACGAGAGGAGCGCAAAAAGATCGAGAAACGAGAGAAGAAGGAGCGCGAGGAGGAGGAAGAGCGCAATCGAATGATAATCACTGGTTACGTGAAATATACGATGGGCTTCAAGCACCAGCTGTGGAAGCAGAAAGGTGAGGAGTACAGGATTCACGGCCGCTGGGGCTGGTTGTGGTTTTCGACGGCGCGAATCGTCAAGTTCGTCAACTTCAAAGAGATGGGCTTGATTGCCGGGCCGCAGAAGATCATGGTGCAAATTCGGGATAAGCAAAATCTGAAAGTCATTCCCGTCGATCCTATTATGTTGAAGTTCTTGAAGGACAACTTCAGGGATGAGACCGAGATTAAGGAGGAGGGCGAACAATCCGCATTGAGCGGTAATAACATACCGGAGAATCTGAAGGATTTGCGATTGGTCCCGAGCGTTACCCGTTTCGAGGAAATCGACGTAAGCAAGGCCTTGACCACTCCGGGAAGACTCCTGTATCCGAAAGTGGCGAAGAAATCGAAGTTGGATGATTTGCTGACGCGCCGAAGTCATCTGAAGACTTTGGAAGAGAGGAAAATTGCTAGAATCAAGGAGGAGGCTGCAAACGAAGACGAGAAAGTTGACGTCGAAAACGACGATGCGGATTTGGAAAATGATTCTAGCCTTGACAAGCAACTGCACAACATGATGATCGGAAAATTGGTTCCGCAAACTGTGACGTTGAACACTTTAAATAGGGAATCTATAACAACGATCGCAAGGAAAATCCAACAGCTTCGTATACATTACTCGTCGGTATCAAAGATCGGCAAGGAGTTTCAATGTTATTCGAAAGGATGCAACTCTAGTAGTTCCGTGTCCTGCTACTCTCCAGTGTGCATGCAGAGAGAGCGAGTGCGCAAGGAGTTGCTGATCCTCCTGAGGAAAGCGAACGTGCAAACGAAAGGAAACTTCCTCAAGGTAAACCCGAACGCTACACCCAAGAAGACGTCGATTTTGGAACAGAAATTGACCGAACCTATACCGGTGACATCCGAGAAGCCGTCGGATATCTGCAAGGATCTGGCCTCGACTATTATGCAGGCACCGCAATGCGGGGAGGACCTGTACAGCGCTATAGTGCCGCTGAAGGAGGAAATCAAAACAGAAGGGGTGGATCTCAAGGAGGAGCCCATGGACATTGACACTTTGGAGCCGGAGAATCGGGTCAAAGTGTACAGCGAGAGCGAGAACGAAGAGATCGACATGGATCTCTCCCCGGATGACATCAACGAGATGATCCTGGGGCCGAACAAGAAGAACACAAAAATATCCAAGTCGATGATAAGCAGATCGACGAAACCGGTGACCGATGCTAAACCAAAAGCGGAGTCGAACGTAAATGGAAGGACCATACAAACGCTGAACGCCAAATCCTCTTTGTACACGTCGCAGAAGAACAGGAGATTCTGTGCGATGCGAACGGTCAGGCGCGAGGAGAAGGTGATCAAAGCGGAGACGGCGGAGGACGGAACGCGCAGGATCTACTCTGCCACCTCGACGGAGGGTAAGATTTACCTAAGGCGAGTCGGATTCCTCGGAGCCGCAGATAAGAAAAAACCCCGGAAACAAATTGTCAAGTACCCAAGTTGCTCCACCTTCAGCACGAGGAAGAAAAGTATGCGTTCGTTGCTTGTGCTGCCAAAGTTCGAAGTGCGGAAGCTCTCAAGGAACGCGGGTAGACTCTACATTGCCGGCTTCAACGCAGTGGCCAAACCTAATAACCTGGTGTGGCCGTATCCGTGCGCGAGGCCACTCTTCAAGACCTGCTGGGTCTACAGGACGGTCAACCTCAAATCGCTCGCCGCGGCTGCTCTGCAATTGAGAATATTGTGGGCATGCCTCAGGTGGGACGATATGCAGGTGAAGCCACCAAACGCTGATGGAAAGCATCAGATCACAACCGAAACCGAGATCCTGAGTTTGGAGCTGCTGAAGCACCGGCACATAGGACAGTTCTTGGAGAAGTCTCAGTATCTTAGGCGAAAGGTGAGTAGTATCAACTGAAGGTGGTTTTCATAGTGAATTCGAGAATTAACTTATTGTTTTTCAGGTCGTAATTCCGTTGGAACTACCGAAGACAGTGAGGGAGGTGACCTCGATAAGAAGCGGACTGAGGAAACGAAAGAGGCCCGATTCTCCGCAGAGCACCGATCCCCAGGTCACCGAAGAATGGGTGGACGAAGATAAATTGGAGCTGTGGGAGATCAAGCAGTATGGAGAAAAGTAAGTTTTATTATTACACATTGAATTCTAATGTTTCTCCCCCAATTCAGTTCAATACACGATCAGTATTTCTTTTAATATTAATTGGAATATATTTACTAATTACTATAATCGTACAATGGTGATCGTGTAAAATACTTGAAATCATCGAGTAAAGGCGAAGCAGTGCCAAAATTTATTAATTATCGTTTTTTTAAAATAATTCGTTTATTATTTTTACATTGATTTTATTTGATTTGATTAATCACTAACCGCTTGCCGTTTTTTTTTTCTCTGTTTTCTTTCCCTCTCTCTCTCCCCCTGCCTCTCGTGTGTTCTCTTGCACAGAGTGGAGAAAGCTAATGCGCAAGTTATCACTAGGAGCCGGACAGGAAATCTTCCACCGACGAGGGTCGCCGACCCCAATGATACGACCATCGGCGCGAAAGTCCTCGTCAGCGGCAAATCCACCGCCGAAGAGATCAAGGAGAAGATGGAACAGCAGTTAAGGCTGCAGAGAGCCGCGCACCAGCAGAAGCGCGCCCTGGACCTGAAGAACCAGGGCCACATCATCAAGATGGTCGGCAGCACTGCGCAAGGTAAGATTCTTTAAATTGTTATCAGTAAAAGTGTCATTCCTCGTACTGCAAATCATCCATTCTTGTTGTTTATCATCATCATCATTATATTATTTGTCTTGTTGTGATATAAACGACTGATGTGTTTCTTTTGCAATCGTTGGAAATAGCAGCTGCGAGCGAAAGCACCACGATACAATTGAAAGGTTCGTAGTATCTGTTGCGTTTGCGATGGTAGCCACATCTGCTCCCTTTTAATTGTATTTACAATTGCAAGCAATCCACTAATTTGATTATTTTTTTTTAATTTCGAGCAGTGACCACGGCTGACGGACAGATGAAGATAGTAAAGAACGTCATCCCCGGTCAGCTGAGCGGTAAAACGACGCTGACCTCGCTACTGACGACCAACAATAAATTCACAGGCCGGAAAATCTTCATGACGAAGGCGGCTGACGGCACGACGCGCGTCATCACCGGAAACGCTAGTCTTATACAGAAAACGCCGCAGGGTCAGAGCCTCATCAAGCTGCAGACCACAAGTAAGTCTTCATATTACGTTGCATCACATTTAAACACCATTTCACAATTATGCATATCAAGTCATCGGTTTTTAATATGTATATTTATTGTGCACAGCGACAGGTTCAACCACAACATCGACACCAACAAAAACAGAACCAACCACACCGCAGCGCGTACAGATATTGCGCACACCGGACGGTAGGCTGACGGTGAAGGGCCTCATGCCCGGTCAGCAGCTCGTTCAGATGCCGGACGGTAAGCTGCAGGTGCTGAACACGTCCACAACTTCCACACAACTCGTACAGCAAACAACGGACAAGACGAAGACGGCCACCGCGAGCACCCCACTATCAACAGTTACAAAGAATATCATTAAAGGTGCCATCGCCGGCGGCAAGATCGTCCAGACGCAGCAGCAGCAGCAGCAACAAACGAAGATTGTTAGCAGTCCGTTGAAGCAGATCGTGATCAAGCAACAGCAGCAGCAGTCGCCGCTGGTGCAGAAAACGACGTCGGCGGTGGCGACGACCACGCAACAGGTCGTCGTCAGCGGCGGTCAACAGGTGAGAATCTCGATAATCAATGTATGAAACATATTGTACAACGTTCACTTTCCGTAGATCGTAACCAATCAGATCGTGGTGAACAATCAGAATCTGGCGCAGCAGATCGCCAGCGGGAAGGTGCAGGTCGCGACGATAAACGGGCAGCAGGTATTGATCAGGCCGACTGGGAACAATCAGGCCCAGATAGTCGCACAGCTGACGCCAAGCACGGCGCTTGCGACATCGCAATCTTCTACGACCACTACGTCAACGACGACGACGCCGGTCAAGCAGGAGGCGGTCGTTCAGCAGAAGCAGGTAGTGACCGCGACGACCACGACTGCAACACCGACGACGACGCCGGCCGTCGTCAATCAGCAGGATGCGAGCGGTCAAATCGATCCTGCTACCTTGGAGCAGCTGTTGGTGGGGCAACCTGCTGGTACGGTCATCAAGTGCGTCACTGCACAAGTTATACAGACCCAGCAGGGACCCAGAATCGTACTGCAAGGTCTGCAGGGTGCTGACTTTACGCAGCAGCAGTTGGCCGCTGTGCAGCAGCAGGTTAAACAACAACTTCTTAAAGGTAAATACTTTTGAATTTATTCTTTCTTTTACTTTTTTCATCAATCAAATGAAACAATTTGTTACTACATTTTTCATACCTCTTATATCTATTTTTTTTATTGATTGATTCACTTGTACATGTTTCTTTGTCTTAACACTATTTATTGTTCTGATTTAGCGCAAGCATCGACTGGAAAGCAAGGAGTACTTGGACCTACAAAGATTTACCTCGCAGTGCAACCGAACTCATCTGGCACGGATTCTTCCAATCAGGAGAGCAACACTCAGCCGCCGCCGCTCACACCCGTCCAGCAGACCCCCACAGCCGCTGCTGCCGCCGCCACCTCCAGCATCCAAGCTAGCAATACCGCCACCGTTCAACAGGTATGCAATAAAACCCCCACGAAAGTGTTCTAAGAAACCGCACAGAGGCATGCCTACTACTACTAAACTCATAAAAACAAACACCAAAAAAAAAATTAATAATGAAAAGAAAATCTGCTGCTGCTGCTACCAATACTAAACATATTATGTTGTATTTGTAATATAACCGATCCGTGAGTGTGCTTCTGAGTGAGCGAGTCGAGTGTGTTGTGTATGCGTGTGGCCGATGAGATATATGTAGATAGCCGCCACTGCTTGCAACAGGTGTCGATGATGATTCGTGTGGGGTGCGGTGATTATAGGTTTCTCGCGGTTTCCATGCATACATTCCGACCACCCTCGCTCCCTCCTTCTCCACCCCTGTCTATCCTATCTCTCTCTCTATAGATAGATAGAGATATATATTTGTTTCCATCATTATTATTGTTTTTTTTTTAAGTCAATGTTCAGGGTGAACTGTCTGCATGGACATTTTGCGCTGGCCACACCACAGTTCACTGTTGCAAAATCCGAGCTGCAAATATCTCTTTCCAAATCATTTTCAATCGCAAGTCATCGAAAAGAAAACAAAATAAAAACCAAACCAAAATGTTCATGTGCAAAACAGATTCACGCTTCACTGTTTATTGATTATGTTTAATTATGATTTAATATTATTATTATTACTACTATTATTATGTTTGATTGTACACGAATCGAATTGCATTGCATTTTATAAAATATAATATATAATATATATATTAAACTAACGACGATTATTATTATTTTTTTTTATTTTTTTTTATTTGATTCAATAATAAACTGTTACGATTGATTTATGTATACTTTTTATTTTTTTTTTATTATTTGTTACGCTTTTATTTTTTTTGGTTTGGTTTTTGCTTGCTTTTCCTTGCACTACACGAGAACAGAAAAAAGTAACACACGCTCACTACTTTCCTAACATTTTTAATCCCCCTCCCTCAACCTCACCACGTTCGATGATGTTGATGATGGCGACGCACGTCTCCTTCAACCCCGTCCTTTGTTTTTTCTCCCTCTCTCTTCTGTTTGTTTCCCTCGCAGCTTGGACAAAGGTAGATATTGTTTTTTTTATTTTTTGGTTCGTTCGTTTCAATTGACCGAAGCTGCTTTTTTTTCGGTGGTTATTTGGAGGACGTTTACGTGACGGATGGTGTGTGTTTGTTCCGCAGGTGGACGCCTCGGCGATCGTCGGGCGGCAGATCCTGGTGAACGGACAGCAGCAGCAGACGACCGCTTTATTGCAGGCAATGAAGGTCAACATGGAGGCGACCAATCGGCTGCAGGCGGGCTCCGCCTCCGGCCCCGCCCTCAATCAACAACAGCAGCACAACCAGCTCGTTTCGACGACTTCGGCCGCCGTCGCTTCGTCACCCGACAAGCAATTCGTCGTCACTCCGGATTACATTCAGCAAAGTATGTTTATATTACAACCTTCCGTAATAGTTTACAATCCGAACTGTGCGTACCCATTGCAAAACGACTACATCTAAACGTGCACGCGCGACTCGATTTTGATTTTGTTTTTTTTTTGATCGACTGATTGAAAAGAGAGGAAAGTCTTGACACAACCACACACAGATAAACACACACACAAACATACACACATAAAATTAATAGATATTTTCGTAAAAGTGAAAGCAAACATAGAATAATTGTGTTGTACATATATATATATATATATATACATAATGTTATATAACAAACGAACGATGATTCACATTATATATATATATAGATAAAACGAAAGGGCAATCTCTTACAACAATTAATTCCTAATTATATATATGCATTAATTAAGAAAAAAAAACAAAACAGAGTCAAAAATTAACACTTGTACTTATGTATATTTCTATGTAAATATGAATGTACATAAGTATTGAAAGAAGGAATCTATTAATTTCGATCTGTGATATTTCCGTTCTTTGCGTTTTGTAATGAATGTACTGAATGTGTCTCTCTACTCTATATACATTTATTTAATATTCTTTTTGAAAATCTATTTATTTACGATTACTTTTGTTCCCTCTCTAGTCTTATTTATGAATTACTATTATTATTATTACCACAATTGCTGTTGCTACAAATATTTATTTATTAGTATTACTATATTTTATTATAATTTTTCTAGTACTCTCGTTTATCACTTTTTTTCTTCTAATCTTCGTATATACACAAACATACAAACACACACATATATATTATTATTATTTTCTTATGATTACCAATTATTACTATTCTATTATTCCCTCGTAAAAGGATGAAAGCGAAAAAAACAAACAAAAAAAAACTAACTCTGTCTGTGTATTTTGTGTAACTGCAAAATTTTAACCAAATAAATTTGTTATGCAAAAATATTCTCTGTGGACGTGTTTTTTTCTTGCTGTGCCCTTTTCACACATTTTATTTTTTTACGAGTCGTTTTGCCTTGGGTCTCTCTTTCTCTCTCTGTTTTTCTTCTCTATTACCACTATTTCTCTCTCTCTCTTTCTCTTTATAACTTTCTATTAATTTTATTTATTATTATTTTTATCCTCGCTTATTTATTTATTTTTGCTTTTTTTTTTTCTTTTGTTTTGTTTCCTTTTTTGATCCAAAACTATTATGATTTTGCATGCAGCCATTAAGACCGCCCTGAAACAGGAGAACCTCAATCCGGAGATCGAGGAGAAGCTGCTGCAGCTGCAGCGATACCAGGAGAGGCAGATGCGCCAGGAGCCGGACACGCCCACGCCGGTGGCCACACCCACCGTTTCTAGAGGCGTGCACCACGTCAGCGTCACTACAACGCCCCTGGGCGGTGGCGGCGGTGGGCGTGTCGCCACCATCAGCGGTACCCGGAAGCGACCGCTGAGCACGAGCAAAACGGACGACGAGGAGTGGGTCATGGAGACGCCCAAAAGGTCGCGGCATTCGCGACCCTTGCTCGAAAACGCAATCAAAAAGGAGGACTTGTAAGTCTATTTTACATCTTTTATTATTAAATATAAAGCGGTTTCTGTTATCGCTTCGATGGTACGAATTAAAAAATACGGGGTGTCATAAAAGAAACGTTTTTGCCGCCATTTGTTTAATGCATAGGTTATGTCCAGTTTGCATTTGTCAGTCGTGCAGTGCGGATCATCCAAATTTGTTTATAATGGAGCACTTAACGTCTCCACAATGTGTTATAATTATAAAAACCTATTATCAAAATCAATCGTCGACCGTGCAGACGCAGAGAAAATTGCGCGAAGTTTTTGGTCAACATGTGCCGACTAAACTCACCATCCTCCGTGTAGTCGAAAATTTTGAAATTCATTCCACCGTTTCTGATGGTACATTTGATACATCTAGGTGATGCTTAAATTAAAAAAAAATAATATAATCTTTTATTTTTAAGTCTATAGCAACTAACAGATCCATGGAAACATAATAAATGTGTATGAACGTTTCAACGATTTTCTCAAAGTAACGTTTTATGCAATACGATGTAATTGACTTTTTGGAATTATTTATTAATTTTGTTGTATTTTTTGCTTACAGCGAGAGTATAAAGGAGAAGGTAGTATCATCGCCAAGGTCAAGACTGAAAGTGAAGGAGAATCCTGTGGAGGTGATGAAGAACAAGTCGTTGATGAGTCTGTTCAGGCACAAGGAGTTACTGAAGAAGGACATCCTTCGGAAGAGGGCGGTGCTTGAGAAGGAGCTGCTTTGCGAGATTCAGGTTTGTAGCGATTGATTAATGTGTCCATATCTTATTGAATATGTTTTACGTCTTTTGCAGAAGGAAGTTGCGGAGGAGTTGGCGGCGCGAACGAAGCTGGAGCGGAACAAGCAGGACGACGTGGTGAAGACGTCGATAATTGCGACGAAGCGGAAACAACCGGGCAGCGGGCCTCAGATCGTGACGGCCGGATCGACGACCTCTCTGCCATCACTGGAATCGCCCGCGAAGAGTACGCCCATAGCGAACAAGAGCAAGAGGATTCACGCGAAAGGTCACTCTCCGGCGACGCCGACGAAGGGCTCCGGCGGCTCCGCCAAGAAGGAGAAGCTGTACTGCATCTGCAGGACGCCCTACGACGAGACCAAGTTCTACGTGGGATGCGACCTCTGCAACAACTGGTTCCACGGCGACTGCGTCGGCATCACCGAGGAGGGCAGCAAAACGATATCAGAGTTCATCTGCTCGGAGTGCAAACACGCGCGCGACACGCAGGAACTGTTTTGCCTCTGCAGGCAACCCTACGATGAATCGCAGTAAGTCTACACATCCTTTGATGATGTCTCACTCGTCTATGCACGTATCAGATTATTAATTTCTTTCCGCTCCGATTCAGATTCTACATTTGCTGCGACCGTTGTCAGGACTGGTTCCACGGTCGGTGTGTCGGCATCCTGCAATCCGAAGCTGACAACATCGACGAGTACATCTGTCCCAATTGCCAGAGGAACTCGTCCGTGAATTACGCCAATATGAAACACCTCTCCAACAAGGACTTTGACGGCCTCAGGAAACTCATCAAACAGATACAGGTAAACAAACAAACATTGATTACTCTTACCATGGTGATAACATATATTCGATTCAATAAGACAAGTTGCTTAGCAACAAAATTTAACTTTGTTTTGTTTTTTTTTTGCAGGCTCACAAGAGCGCGTGGCCCTTCATGGAACCCGTCGATCCGAACGAAGCGCCCGACTACTACAAGGTCATCAAAGAACCGATGGGTAAGTCGTCTAACAGCAACATCTCTCAAACAGTAGCCAAAACTGTTGTTTTTTTTTCTTTCGTCTTCGCAGATTTGCAAAAAATAGAGAATAAAATAAACGACCGATCCTATCACACGCTGAGCGAGTTCATCGGCGACATGACGAAGATCTTCGACAATTGCAGGTACTACAATCCGAAGGAGTCGCAGTTCTTCAAGTGCGCGGAATCCCTGGAGGCGTACTTCGTGAACAAAATCAAGTGTCTGAGGGAGAAGCTGTTCGAGAATTGAGAATATTTTCATTTCCGTTATATTCAATTATTTTCCTTTTATTTTTCCATATTATTATTTTTTTTTTGTTTTGTTTATTTTTTCTTTCTTTACATAACACACACACACACAAACACTCACACACGTAAAACAAACAGACAAACATTTTCGCTTTCCCCCCCAGGTCAATCAATTTCGAAACTTCCCTACAAGTCTATAAGTTTTCTCCGCTACTCTTTTCGTTTTTGTTTCATTATTTCTGTTTTGTTCTTGGAAGAGGGTTCTTTATCTTTTTAAATGTACGTGCTCGTAGTTTTTTTTTGTTGGTTCAAAAATATCGTCGGCACGTACATTTAACATGAATAATTTGTGATTTCTGGGCGAGCGAAGATCTCCACTCTCTCCTAACGTTAAGTGAATAATAATAAGATGTAAATGTTTGTTATAATTATATTATTATATAACTCGTCGAAGGATTTTGTACGTCACGGAGCCCCTCTCTCCTCCGTCATCATGCACACACCCACCTCCCACAACTAAACCCCAATCAAAACAAAAACAAAAAAAAGAAGTTGACCACGCCCCATCACTTTGTTCTTTCCCCGCTATATGAAAACAAATGACACAAGCCCCGCCCCCTAATGTTATTATGATTAGCCCCGCCCCGCAACCCCGATTATTATTACTATTATTATGATTATATAGATACTATTATTATTATTATTATATACGATGTATAATTTCACTTTTTTTTTTGTAGTTGATTCAACTCCAACTAAACATACAACAAAAACCCTTAAAGCAACAAATGATTGTAAATATATAAAGTTTTTTTTTTGTTTACTGTGAATAATAATAATAATGATGCCGACTTTTGATTTGTAACGCTCGCACGGGCGATGAACACTATTTATTTCCACCTGTTGTGCGATTTAGTAAAACAAAGGAAGAAAGTGTCAAATATTGCAATTTATATATACATATATAAATATAAAAAAAAATTATTTTTCATTAGAATTTGTTTATTTTCGTTGACGACAAATAAAACAAAAAAAAAACAAAAGAAATAAAGAAAGAGAGAAGATATATTGTTTTTAGTTTGTAAGATTTTTACCAGAGTGCAAAGCGGAAAATGTTTTTCTAGTGCCATTTTCTACATCTATATATATATATAAAAATATTGTTTCTTTTTTCTGTAAATAATTTTTAAATAATATTAGAGAAAATACTATATATATACACAAACACACACACAAGTACACACAAAAACACAACATTTTTTTCTTTAATTAATTGGAGTGAATTGTTTCTTTTCTGTTTTGTTCTGTGAAAGAGAATTTAACTTTAATACTTGTTTTTTTTTTTCGTTAATCGAATTTTATTGTAATTTGTTTGTTTTCATGAACCGCGACTGCATACAAAAAAAAACAAATGAGTGCAACAATCAACAATAAACATGATGTTAGGGTGCTTTTCTCTTAAAACAAAAGAATGGTGACAAATCTTAGATAATCTACGAAAAAAATGATATACAGATTTTGTTTGATACATACATATATATATATATTATTTAAAAAAAAACAAAACAATGCGATTTTTTTTTTAGTCTCGAAACAAGAAAATTAATGAAGAGGAAATTTAATTATGTAAATAAATGAATTAAACAAATATCAATACAAATTTTTGTTATATACTTATATATATATATTATATATTTAAAAAAAAACAACTATTGTTTTCATGTATTTTTCATTAAAATTAATGAATTATTAATAAATTTGATTACATAAAAATTAAAATTAAGTGATTTTTAAATTCAAATTCGTCTGAGCTCCATCTACCTGCTGCTAACTGTAACTGTTGAAATTGCAGGTGATTGAAATAATTATGTTGGCTGTTATTGTTGTTAACCATTTGTTTTCAGCCGCATCGGACATAACCCATAACCTAGTAACGTAAACAAATGTTTTCACCGGTTTTCAAATGGAGGAGTACTTGAAAATTAACTGGTAATTTATTGTTGTTGTTGCTCTTAAGAAATAGTTGTTGATTGTTGTATTTTTAAGGCGTGAGAATCCTCTGGACGATGATTCAGTGTTCATCACTGAGGATGAGCTTAAGAAGACTTACATGAATCGATTGATCAGCGGAGAGATTTGCTTGGATGATCTGAGAGAGAAACCGAAGCAGCTGGATAGCAACGAGAAGCAGGATGTGCCTGGTCAACAGTACTATCACTGCTTTAAAAAGTCCTCACAGTTCAATGCCAACGAACACGGCAAGTTCATAAATGCTCTGAAGGTGCTTGTCAGCGGTAAGAAGAAGCATGATTACTTTGAGAGGCAAGATCTTGAATTCTACAACGTAATTTACTCATTGTTGTTTAAAAAAAAAAATGTAATTCAATATTTCTTTAGAATTGCAAGCAGCAAATCGTTGTTGAGAATAGTCAGTATTTAAAATTCGCCGAGGAGTTGTGGAACAAGACGCAGGGAAGACAACCGCTGAGGATTAACAATAACATTTTAAGTTACATGAAGTACAAGAGGAAGATGAGTATTGAGAACGTTTTTAAAAGACCGAAAAATTATAACCAGATTGATTTGTTGTCGTACTCGCACGAGGATAATTCGAACATCGAAATGATTCACACGACTAATCTCTTGGATATGGTAAACATTATAAATAAGTTCTATTAGTTATTATGTTTATTATATTTGTTTTAGGGTAAACTTGGTAAATTCCTGCCACCCGACTTGACGTACTCGTTCAAATACAAAGTGAAGACTTTACCGAAATGCGAGGAAGTTAATTACAACTCGAAATTACCTGGTAATAATTGGATTTAAAACGATTGTAGATTTAATAAATTTAGTTGTATTTCAGTGAGCGAGGATAAGAACATCGACGGGATTTTGGATAATCACGAGGCCGATGTTGTTCTGTCCCTTTCCACTCTCAAGAAGCTGATCAACTTTAGCGATTCGCACAATACCTGGCACGTTCCGGTGATCGTGAAGAAAATTGTAAAAAGTAATTTACGTTTGTTAATAAGTTTGTGTAAAAATTTAAATTTGAAATCGTTTTAGATGGGAAAATGAAGAACGTCGTGTTTCTGGACAAGGCTCTGCCGAAGCTGAATCCGACCCACACGGAATTGAACGAGCGTTGCGCTAAGCTGTTTGCCAAGACGAATTTCTGCACGATCGAAGGTTACGCGTAAGTCAACATTCCTTTTGGGACGTGTAATAATATAATTTTGTCTTCAACTGGTATTGAAATGTTAACTTGAAGATTGGAATTTCACGTAAGATTAATTTGAGTTCGTTTGCAGGCATCAAACTGTCGAGGCTAAATTGAAGGAGAAAAAGGATGTTAACGAAGATACGTTGGATGTGTCTTGCAGTGAGAGCGAGGACGAAGAAACTTGCAGCCAGAAGCGCGAAATTCTGCACAACACCACGTACAAACTGTGGCAACTTGGGACTCGGGAGGAGAACAACGTGTTGTTAAAGGGATTCATCAAGAATTCCACCTTCAAAGTGCTCATCCGCACCAAATACGATGCGTGCGAGGTGCGTTTACTTTAATGTTTCTAAAAGAAATTATTGTAATTATTGAAAATTGAATTGCAGAAAAACGCTGAAGGTAATTTGCAGCCTATCACGATCGTGCCGAAGATCGAGTACCAATTGGATTTCGGCGGTGGGATTTGCAGTAGGACGGATCTGGTGAAGCAGTGGGCTTCGCTTTACTTCAAACCATTCTGCGGCCTCTACAGAAGTAAGACATTCTACTTGTTGTTGTAATATAATTTATATGATTTTTATTGCAGTTCGTTCGCATTATTCGTCGTGCGATGTGGTGAAAATCGAACCGTGCAGCATACAGAAAGTCGCCAACGAGGCGATGGTTTATCACCAGTGCAAACCGAACGCTGGGATCGGCGTTCTCTACAAGATCTTCCACGAGCTGAGGAAGTTACCGCCAGCAAATTACTTGCTACATCGTGAACCCAAACAGGGCGCTTTTGTAGCGCTTCTCCAAGAGACTGTCATCGAGTAAGATCAATATTTCTTTTTTTTACATTAAGTAGAATAAGTGCAGTTTTGGGTATTTACCCGAAAATTAAGGATTATGATGAATCTTGTGGGTGTTTCAGTAAAACTATTTGATTTTGTAGCTCGAAAAGCACGTACGATCTGCACGAAGTGTACAAGAGGAACGATGTGATCGTTACGGAAGCGCTGACTCCTTGGTGTCAAATCGATGTTAACGTTCTTCTGCCGATGTTCGAGCACAAAGGGCACATGGCCGGACTCTTTCAACCGTGCAAAACGAAAGCAGCCAACAAATTCGGTAAAACATTGAAAAAGTTTTAATTACAATTTTATATTAATAATAATAAATTTACTTACTGCAGGACTATTCACCAATAAGAACAACAAAGGCGGCAAAGGAAACAAAGGTATAATTTTGCATTTGTTTAAAACTGCGATGTAATGGTAAAAAATTTAATTTATTTCGCGTTTGCAGGGAAGAAGAAAAACAACAACAACAAAGCGAAGAATCAGAAGAAAAAGGCGAAAGCCAAAGCTAAGCACAACCAAACGGAAACCACGTAAATGCAGTGTTTTTTCTTTTCACAATTTATTAATACATAATTCTTACTCTTTTATTTTTTTTATACACAAACTCTATTATTTTGATATCTCCTCGAAACACAGACATCCCGAATCTTCTCCATCCCACAAAGAAAGAAAAACCACAAGTTATTATTTACATTACCATTTGGAAGAAACAAAACGTTTATGAATCTGCTTTGGTGCGAAAGGAAGAAGTTTAAAGAGATTCACGAGAAGGTAATTATTTGTTTTTTTTTTACTTTAATTTAATTAAAATTAAACAAAAACGGCATAGATTTACAGTACTTCCTAACCGTTTTCAAGTTAGTAATTAATTTCCATTATTACAAAAAAAAAATAATATATAATTATAATAATCAATCAATCAAACGACAATCAATGAGAGAAGGGTGGAAAATTGAACGCCTACGACTGCGACCTATGAGAGCTTCTTCGCCTTTTGATAAAGCGTGTCCACTACTTTGCTCATACTCTGGATAGTCTCTAAAGCCATTTCGTACGTTTTGTCTACTGGAGTCTCTTCAAACACGATCAGCACACCTGAAAAGTGATAACGTTTTAATAAGATTTTTTTTTATATATTTAATTTCGTTTGCAGGAAACGTTTGGAGATTATTTATTTACCTTCACCCTGATCTAGGATACCGTGGAATTTGGCATCGAGGATCATCTGCGAGAGTTTCTTCTCGACCTGCGGCATTGGCAATTTGATCGTCTTGGCAACGTAATCGACTTGGACGCGCGAGTACGGTTCGATGATTCTGCAGAGGTTCTGCTCCAGCATGTTGTCGTACAATGTACCCAGGTGAGCCCTGACGATGACGTCGTCCTCGAGTTCGTGCTTGAACTGCTTCACGGCCAATTGGAAATCCGCTAGGGATCTCTTGTGCGAGGCCTGCGCTACGCTCTTCATGGCATCGATGTCTCTACCGGCGTACTTTATCGCCAACTTCCCGCTGATGATCTGCTGCACGTCTTCGGGGTTGTTCAACATGATCTTCGAGAGCAGCATGTATTTGAGAGCGGTCAAGGCCTTCGATGATTCGACGCTGTCGAAGCCCTCGAACGCTTCGTAGAAGTACGAGTAAGCGGTCTTGAAATCCTTCTCGTCGGCGGCGTGCAGGATACCGGACTGCAGATCCAAGGAGGCCTGCACCTTGGGTGGACAGTAGATAGCGTTGGCGGTGGTGCGAGCTGAGGTCAAGGCGGCTCTGGCCTTAGGCAAATTGCTCAGAGCATGGTAAGTCTTGCTTTCCAACAGCTGCACTTCCACAAGCAGATTCTTATCATCTAACTTCTTCAGTTCTTTGAGCAAAGTGGATCCAAGTTGCAGAGCATCTGTGTACATGCCGGTGTCAAAGTAGAGGGCGATCAGACGCGATTCCAGAGATTGCCTCAAGAAAGTCCTGCGCTCCTCCTTGGCCCATTCGATACACTCCTTGCAGAGCTGCACCTCAATCCCTATACCAGCTTCCAGATCGAGGAAGAAGTCGACCAGCGATCTGAACAGTTTGGCAGCCTTGGCCTTGCTGATGGAGCTCAGGAAGGGTCTGGTCATCTTGATGAGATCCGCCAATTCGCGGGCTTTGCCCTCCTTCTTGTACTGCTCACCCAGATTCAAGATGTCCTGTTCGCGGTTCTTGATCTCCTCCTCGTTGTACTCCACGTTCGCCCCCTTCTTGATCTTGTTCAACCATTCCAAACGCTCCTCCGCTTTACCATCGTCCGGCACAGAGGCCGTCCTCTCGAACATCATAGCTCCGGCCATACTCGCTCCTTGAATTTACTGGAAAACTGCAAGAATTTATTAACAACAGTTGGAGGTTCGGTGTGAAGTTGAGAATAGCACTGTCATCACAGTCATTTACCTCAAAACACTGTAGCCTCCTTACATCGAAACATAACAACGTGAAGTTGCAGCGCGATGACAAACCGAGAAAATTTAGCGCAATCATCGCGAAAATCCACCATTTTCACAGCATTTCATCGCGACAATTCTAGAACAACTATAATTAGATTACTCCGCACAATCGACATTAATCGACGCGCATTTAAAATCACTCAAAATTACTTTAAACATTAACAATTTGCCCTAATTGCAACCAAGCTAATTCTTTCCACCCAATCGTACATAGTTTTCCATATCTCAAACCTATTACAATCAATCAACAAAAGCATTGTTTTTCCACATTAAGAAAAATCTCGAAAGAAAATTGAGAATTTTCTAAGCAACGGTAATGTTTGATTTCCTCCATCATGTTGGTCGCATTGCTTGTCGTTGTCCATATAACCCCCAAAACAGAAAACAAACAAATTTTTGTTGGTTAGCACATATCGTTCATAATATTTCGCTCGAAAATGGATAAAGAGTAAGTCGAATTCAATTCCAATGTTATACAAATACTAACAGAACTTTGCTACAATGTTTCCAGGTACGGATTGATCGTTAAGAATAAGCTGTCTGCCCCAACTACGAGGAGACCTGCAATCTTTGAGGAAGACTCAGATTCTGATGGGGGTTCAGCAAAGCCCACTGGATTAAAGAAACCATTAAAAAGACAGGTAAATTATATTAACTGTTTAACTCTTTGATGGGTGGGAAAATAGAATTGATAAGAATTTATATATTCAAATTCAAATATTGATAGATTTATTAATATTTTTTGTATTTGTCATAGGATCGAGTTGTTCAAGAGAAAGCTTTGGAGGAAGATCCAACAGTGTTTCAATATGATGAGCTGTACGATGATATGGATAAGAAGCGCAACGAGACGAAGCTGGCCAATAAGGATGTGGATAAGAAACCAAAGTACATCAAGAAGTTGCTGATTGCTGCAGAGAGGAGGAAGCTGGAGAACGAGCGGCGCATCGAGAGGCAGGTGCAGAAGGAACGCGAGGAGGAGGGAGACGAGTTCAGGGACAAAGAGGCTTTCGTCACGGCTTCGTACAAGAAAAAACTAGAGGAGATGAAGGAGCTGGAGGAGAAGGAGGCGCGCGAAGCGTATCTGGAGTCTATCGGGGATTGCACGAAACAGATAGATGGTCTGGATGGGTTTTACAGGCACCTGTACAGCCAGGTGAACGATGGAAAGAAGGAGGAAGAGGATGGTCAAAAGGATGTCGAGGATGCAGAAAAAATCGAAGTGAAGAGCGAGGATGCTGAGAAGGCGAAGAAGAAAACTCGCAAGTACAGGAAACGTGAGGATTCCAAGTCGGATGAGGAAGAGGTGGTTGCGAGCAAGGCGCATCTGCAGTCGAACGTGGACGCTGATTCGGATTTCAGTATCGATTCAGAGTCCGAGGGGGAGGAGAAAGATGTCAAAGTCAAGGAGGTCGCAGTCAAAGAGGAAAAGGAGGATGCCGACGAGACGGAGGAGAAAAAGGAAAAACCGATGAAAGAGGAGCAGGAAGAGGAGGAGGAACCGAAGCCGAAGAAGCCTAAAATAGATATATGGAAGAAGAGGACTGTCGGGGAAGTCTTTGACGAGGCGCTGAAAAGGTTCTACGAGAGGAAAACGCTTCGGGAGTCCGGATAAAACGTATAGGCTGTGTAACATGTCATTTATTTATTCAAGTCAATTGTTTCGAGCGAAGCAACAAGATTGTACATATTCTCTCTGTTTTTTTTGTTTTTTTTTAATATAAAATAACCGTTGTATTTGTAATGATGATTTTTTTTTTTGTTATTGTTGAAGGTTGTAAGAACTTCTTCGGAGGAGGATGATGATTTAATCAAGCAGTAGTCGGATAATGCAGTTTACAAACACGTAAATGATATTTCGTAGTAGCATGTAAATTTCTTTGCGCTAATACTTAATATAATTTACAGGTGGCGACATCTTTCGGCAACCGTTCGGCGTTTCGAAATTTGAAAGCGGACAACGCTTATTTTTTTTCGTCTGTTCGCCGTGTAGTGTGTTTTGCAGTGTTTTGTGTCCGTTTTTATTTACAATTCTCTGAAAAATCAAGATTAGTATTGCTAACAGACACCAATACTAAAAGCATCAAGTTTCGTCGAGGATTGAAGAGTAATCGAGTCAGATACGTTGATTTGTATTTGATTTAACCTAGAAAAATAAGGAGATCAAAACAATAGAAGACACAAACAATGCCGTACGCCAACCAACCGTCTGTACATATCACAGATTTAACAGACGAAAATGTAAAGTTTTTCATCGAAGACACTGACCTCAGGTACTGAATATTATTATAAACAAACTTTGATTAATGATATGTAATTGTATTAATTGCAGTGTCGCGAACAGCATTAGGAGAGTTCTGATAGCAGAAACCCCGACCATGGCCATCGATTGGGTGAAACTGGATGCAAATTCCACTGTGCTCAGTGACGAATTCATTGCACATCGCGTCGGTTTGATACCACTCATCTCTGACGATGTTGTCACTACATTGCAGTACCCCAGGGACTGCATATGCTCGGACTTTTGCACCAATTGCAGTGTCGAGTTCACCTTGGATGTGAAATGCACAGATGAACAGACCAGATACGTTACCACGGCTGACCTAAGATCAACCAACAATGCAGTGCTTCCGGTCACCTCAAAACACAGGGATGATGATTCTGCAGAGTACGGGGAGACAGACGAGATTCTCATTGTCAAATTGCGAAAAGGGCAGGAGCTAAAGTTACGCGCTTACGCTAAAAAAGGTCTGATTTGATCATTAAAAATAGAAATAGAGTGGTAATTATATTGTGCATTTTAGGTTTCGGCAAGGAGCACGCTAAATGGAATCCGACTGCGGGCGTCTCCTTCGAGTATGATCCGGATAACGTGATGCGTCACACTCTGTTCCCGAAGCCGGACGAATGGCCGAAAAGTGAATACAGCGAACTGGACGAAGACCAATGTGAGTGTGATTTCAATCTTTAATTACTACATTTATATAATTTGTACGTGAACGAAATTGATGTGTGCGTATGTATTGATAGATGAGGGTGTATTCAACTTGGATGCGAAACCGGTCAAATTCTTTTTCAATGTGGAATCTACAGGCGCATTGAAACCGGAGAACATCGTGACGATGGGCGTCGAACAGCTGAGAAATAAATTGTCCAACGTCTTGACGCAGCTCACCATTGAACTGCAGTCGGACGCATTGGCAATCGCTTAATGTTATTTAATACGATCCAAGCGTTCCATTTCTACAATAAATATTTATCGTCATTTAGGAAAATATTTCAATTCAAATTTCCCAATTGTTTTTTGGCTCGTTTTAAATCCGATGTCGGTTTCAATACGTTCTTATCCTTTGCAACAACTCATTTCTCGTATCGTATTCCTTTTTACTTTTACTTCGCGACAAAAAGTTAAGAAAAAAAAAGTAAAGGTAGAAGAAGAA